AAAAAAATCACAAAATTGACATTATTATTGTAAAAAAAAAATTATAATTTTAAGGAATATTATCAAATAAAATTATAATTAACACTTTCTAACATTAGTTCATTCAATTTTGCAGTAATTTTGCGATCAGTTTTGCAATTCGGTTTTATCGGTCGGTTTTGCAGTCAGTTCAGTTTCAGCTGAAAACCACGGTTTTAAAACCAAAACCGAACCAAACTGACTGTTGGCATCCCTATTCCTAATGCCTTTTCATTTTTGACACTCTCCTTTAACTGTTGCTTTCTTTTTCTTATTTTTCATTCCTGACATCTCTCTTTTGCTGTTTATTCATTTCTAACTCCTTTTTTTATTTTTAATTTCTATATTCTTTGCTCTGATGCTTCCCTTTTTATCATTCTTCATTCCTGGTTTCTGTTGTTTAATGCCTCTCTTTGTTATTTTATTTGAAACACTTTCCTTTTACTATGGTTCCTTTTCATTGTTATTTATCATCCTTATTTTTATCATTACCTTCTTTTTTATTTTTCTAGATTCAAGAAGATGATTCCTAAATATAAAAAATGTTAGATTAATCATAATTTATGAAAAGTTCACCTAGAAATAAAAAATTTTAAGAAAATTGGTTTTAAATTAAAAAGTAATGTAAATAATCAGTTATAAAATATAGTAGTAAATAAATTTTTTTTTTTTAAATAAGGAGTGTGAATTGTACAATTTTGAATTAAAATTTAAATTTATTATAAAATAAAATTGAGCTAATTAAATAATTGGTATTATTATGTACTGTACGAATTTGATACAAAATTTTGTACGTTACTAATTATATATGTAAATTTTTTAATTTTATCAGTTATACGCAAATATAATATAAATTATAGGTATAGTGATAAACTAAGTATAGTGATAAACTGTACTGTACGAATTTTTTTAATTTATCGTACAGCGCTTTATATAGTACTGTACTAGGACCCCGGAAACTATATATATAGGTTGTTTCAAAATTTAAAAATTTACTATGATCTTTACCCAAGTTAAGCCAAAAATTTACTAATAACGTTACCCAGTTTACTAGTAACCTTAAATCTTTCCTATAAGTGTTACCCAAAATAAAAATAACCTGTTTTGGTTTTTATAACCTGATTTTATTATTAATTATTATAGAAATTAACCAAATATTGTTACTATAACACTAATTACATGTTTTTGTGAAAAAAAATTAAAAATTTCCCAAGAATTTCCTTCCAAACATAGACGATCAGGTAAACTTGCAACATTATTTATATCCAAGCAACTGTTATTAAAATGATAAATAACTTGCTTTGGAGTTATATAAGCAAATTTATTACCACCAGATTTACATATTTGAGAAAATAAGTTGTCATCGGTATTGACAAATGTAGCAACTGAAATATAAAATAAAGAATCTATGTTTTGAGAAAAAGAAACATAAGCATATCGCATAGATATTAATCTATATAGTGATAATATTTTTCCTAAAAATATACTTTCCTTTGATATATATAAAATAAATCAGTTTTCTCTTAATGGATTATTATCAGTTACATTTGCACGAGAAATGTTTGGGACTATAATGAAAATCTAATAAATAATAGAATAAATTATTTACTATTAAAAACTCATTAAATATACCATTAATATATTGAGGTAATCCAATATTTTCTAAATTTTTCCTTCCTATCCATCTTTCTTTTCGCAATCTAATTGTTAGTTCTGAAGTACCATCTTTTCGGAAAAATTCTGAAATTAACAAATTTTTGATTTTATTTTAAAAAATGCAAGCTGAAAGTTCCAAAAATAGTTCTACTTTTCCAAGTTTAGAATATTTTTACCTGATAATGAATATGATTCTGATGATTTTGATTTTCTAGGATATGAAAAAAAAAAAAAATTTTCGATCATTTTTAACATTTATATGATATATATAAAATACCCCCTTAAAAATATATNTCATTTTTAACATTTATATGATATATATAAAATACCCCCTTAAAAATATATATATAATTGTTACCCACTATAGTAACAACCGAAAAATGAATCATAAGATCATTACCCATTTTATATAATAACAATCTGGCCCTTACCCAATTTAACAAAAAACCTAAATCATGTTTATAATAAAATTACCCGACTTAAGCAATAACAATTTTTGATTTTTTATAATAACTTTACCCAGTTTACCGGTAACCTTTATATGAAGTTTCCGGGGTCCTACTGTACTGTACTGTACGATAAATTTTTTAAAAAATTCGTACAGTACAGTTTATCTCTATACTGGTCGTACACGTATAAGAAAGATACATTTGCGTCGGTGCCACTGGGGTAGTTACACAGTTATAGTACAGTAGATCAAACGCGTCGCGTCTGTCACGTGATTTTAATTTCTATCTATTTTTATTTATTTGTTTCCAACTAGTTGTCTTAGGACCTTTTTTTACTCCGAGAAATAAAAGCGTTGTCTCTGAAACTTGTTTACTCTGAAATAAAAATATAATCCACAACCATTTTTAACTTTTGTTATCGTTTCTTTGATATTTGTCAAATATTTTAAAGAACAGTATTTAATTACCTTCAGAAAAAAATTGAGCTTGTTCTGTTAACATGGAAGGAGAACTTAGTACCACAAAAATAGAGACATCACAATCATCTCAACATGAATTTAAAGAAGTAGTTCACGAAAAAATTGATGATTCTCCAATAAAAATAGTGACATCTCAATCATCTCAACATGAATTTAAAGAAATTGAGGCTGAAGTAGTTCACGAAAAAGTTGATGATTCCCCAATAAAAATAGAGACATCTCAATCATCTCAACATGAATTTAAAGAAATCGAGGCTGAAGTAGTTCACGAAAAAGTTGATGATTCCCCAATAAAAATAGAGACATCTCAATCATCTCAACATGAATTTAAAGAAATCGAGGCTGAAGTAGTTCACGAAAAAGTTGATGATTCCCCAATAAAAATAGAGACATCTCCATCTCAACATGAATTTGAAGAAATCGAGGCTGAAGTAATTCATGAAAACAAATGTCTCTCTCTTATCCCGTATGATGGATCTTTATTCTTTAACTCGTATGAGAAATCTTTATTCTTTAATTTGGCTGAGAAACAAGGAGGTTTGTAATTTATTATGTTATATTATTTTTTTTATATATTTACTAAAAACGTAATTTTAGATAATATGGCCGAGCCAAAGAAAGATGAGATGGAAGACGTGAACATAGATTATCCGCGAACTTCTGAAAACGAAATTACTATTTCTGTTCACAAAGAATTGGAAGCAAGAGTCGCCATGTTAAAAGCCTTGCCGTCCCCCGAACGCAAGAGAATTTTGGGGCTAACTCCTCGAAAAATTAGTGAGGCTTCAATTAAACAAACTAGTTCATCATCTGTTAACCGTTTTGCGAAAACGCACGAGAAAGCTTTTTCACAAATGCCGTCAATTATGACGCATTATGCTGCTCAAAAAACAAAAAAAGCTGAAGAAATTCAAGATGAAATCAATAGGAAGCGCAAAGATCTAGGTGGTATGCAGCCATTAATTAAAAAGCGAAAATTAGCAAATAGTACTGCAAAGGAGGTCGCTAAGTCATCAGTTCGTCTTGGTGGTATGTCATATATATCTTTTATTATAGAATTTAATCTTGTATAACTAATAATATCTTCTTTAATTGAAGTTACTCAACATGTCTTAAAGAAGAAGACGAAAGAAGGTGTTGCAAAGAAACCAAAGCCATCTTTATTACCTAGAAGAGTGTCAGGAATACAAAAGAAAATGTCAAAATGATCGGCAATTTATTAGAAACCGGCTTAACATTAATGATAATGTATGAAAATCGTATGAAACATATGAACATCAATATGCATGTAAAGTTTTAGTTGGTGGAAAATTATTTTAATATGCAAATGGTTCATTATAAACAGATAATTATGAAAGTCCAAGTTCATTGCTAGGTATTATTTCACATTTTTCTAGTCAGAATTCTTTAGCAATTTTTAGCAGTCTAATACTCTAATTACATCGGCTGAAAAGTCATTCCATATCAGCTTATTGTTTGAATTTAGTATGTTTCATTTGAAATATCTTCATGAAAGATGATGTGCAATCAAAAAATGTTAACGTATTTTGCTTCATAGAAGTGAACTACTTGTAATATTTTTTGTTGTCCCTCATAATGTTTTGCTCTTTGCCAATACTTCACTATTATTCTTTGTGATGGACTAATCCGTTATCAATATTTATTAGAAAAAGATAAATAATCATACCCCTCTTCTTGTTATGTAATTATTGAAAATAAGGTTCATATATCATTTCTTGAATAAAATATAATACTTTGAGTTTCCCATCATATCCAATTTCTTGTATAAAAATCATATTTTAATAGAGAGTCCATTCTCACGGGGTCCTGGGGACAAAAAATTTGAGCATCCTTATCTCTGGGCCACGGTCCAGATGCTTATCCTGGACCAGCAAATCTAATTGGATGAGATTGTTTTGTGTAACATTTGTCTTGGAAAAAAAAACAATTCGCGTTTTTTTAAAAAAAAGTTATGAAATGCCTTTTTTTAAAAGCATTTAATACTACCGTTTTAAAGTAATATGTTATTTAAAATTTGTATTTTGGTATGCATTTTATTAAACTTTATTAATAAATAAGTAAAATTGCATATATAACTTTATAAAAAAGGTCTTTACATTATTTTTTACTGTAATTTTATTATTAAAATTATTTTAACGTTAATATCAAAACAAAAGTACAAAGTAATAGTATTATATTAGCTTTAAAAGTTTTGTTATAAATGTGTAATTTAGAACAACTTTGCTTAACCCCAAAACTTAAAAAAAAAACACTTGATTTCCAGAATAATATCAATATATCATAAAACTCTTCAAAAAGAAAATAAAAAACATTTAGTATTATCATAAAACTACAATAAATACAACTAAAATTAAAATATACAAACTGAAATGAAATATGAAATACTAACCACAAAAAAGAATAGAGAAAGAGTGAAAGATAGGAAGAGTAAGAGATAAAATAAATTATGCTGGAGTTATGTAATAAAAGGGCTGATTAGCCAATCAAAAGTTGACTGGTCCAGAATAAGCATCTGGACCGGTGGATCAGGTTAAGGATGGCCACCTTAAGATGTGTCATGTGGATTTTCCGATAAAATCAGATCACGTGCAACATAAAGAGCTTTTTTAGTAAACAAAATTCGACTTTCAAAATCGTTTATTTATATAATATTCCACTAAATTAAACTGATAACAAAGACACGGAAAGCAAACTACAAATATGAATGATGGGGAAGAAAAGTTATCGCTCAGCGATTGTCTAACTGTGCTTGTTGATACATATATTTCACTAGATTTGAATAGCTGGCAAAATATTATAGGCTGTTATGTAGCCTTTTTATTGAATATTATTCTCATTATAATGAGATACTTGTATGTAGATAGATATTCTACAATTGAATATATTCTGCTGACATTTAGTATTCTAAACGTAATATATCTGTGGTGGTGGAGTTATAAGATATATCATTTTTTTTCTCAAAAGAAGGATGAAATTCCGAATAACCCAAATATTAATCTAGTTGGTATAAACTTGCCGTGGTATACTCGAAATCGCCTTGGATATTTTATGTGGGAAGATTATTTAATTTTGTTTTTAACTTAAAAGATGATTCAATATCTTAATAACAATTCCTTTTTTTTTTAATAGACACCAACAGTATTATGAGTTGAGTTATGACGAACCATATAAAGAAGGACAAAAAGTTTGGGAAATCTGTATTTGGAATCCAAATAAGTTTTCTCTTAATTTACTCTGTGGATTCTCACCAGTACAAGTCGGGATCCTTATGCTCATGAATAAGGGTACTGAAATATACAGCATAATATTGGCTGGATTCTTGGCTTTACAGATGTATTTCTATGCAGAAAAATTTATTACACTTGTCCGAGACAAGGAAATTGTATTTAGAGAGATCCAACGTGAATATGATATGAAATTTGTTAAACCAAGATTATCCCGACGAAAGAAAAATGTTGAAACTCAAACAATGTCACAAGAAGAGATGATGAAAGAATTGTTATGTATCAAGTCGGATTATGAACATTATAAGTTTCCGAGGAAATTCGATAATCCGTGGGTTACTAATTTTGGTACAACATGAAAGTACGGCACTACATATTACAAATTAATTTTGGTCGGAAGTTGATTAAGATAATATTTGATTTAGACTTTTCAGTAGAATTTGCGGTATCCACTTAAAATATATTTTGAGTATTCAATAAAATTGTTATGAAACGAAAAATATTAGAATAAATATTCTCCATAAAATTGATGATTTAATTAAGATAGATTTATTGTACACAAAATTGTACTTCGGATACCCGGATACTAAATCTACGGATCATAATCAATGATTTAACGGTACAAACTCTATATCACAGAGAGTTGTTCAGAGTTGTTTCAAGAAATTTTATGTGAATGGATGAAAGTGGATATAAATTTATAATATATACACCCTTATTTAAAAATTTATTCAGAAATCAAAGATGTAGTCATCAAAAATATAAACAAAAGATGTAATACAAATATATAATAAATAAAATACAAAGGGAAAACAAAGGGAAATAATTGTAAGAAAATAATACATGTATAAATATATAAATAAATGCTGTAAGTCTCAAAAATATATAATTAATTTAATTTTGTTCAATTCTAGGGTTTTCTATCTAATCAATAATAAATAAATATGAAAATAATTTATTCTCCATTATCAACCCATCTGCAAACTCTAATAGTTAACTCATTTCTCCAAGAAGTTAATGATTTACGTTCTCTTGGATTAAATAAACTCCAAACACCAACCCAGGTTCTTTTACCAACCCAACACAATCTTTCCCATAATAAAATCGTAGCATAAGCAATAACAGTCCAAAAAAATGCAAATATACAAAAACCAAGTATGAAAATATCTTTACGACCGTGAAATTCATACAAATTACATTTTTTAATGAAGTGTACCATAATAATAGAATATATTATATCAAAAGTAATGAATAATACCAATCCTGACATCATTTTCCATGTTGCTATAACATCTCTACCCGGCCATCTTGTTATTGCTAATGAATTATCATCATATAACATTGCATTTTCTCCTTGTTTTTTACCAACATATTTCGCTATTAACCCAATTGGCGAAAATAAAATTAATCCTGGCATTGTTAATATAAAAAGAATTACGAGTAATGGTAAATATAAAAATAACGATACTGGCGTCGTGGACATGTGTGGTGGTGATAATCGATGACTACGAAGTTTTTGTATATACATAACAACTTCATATTTTAATTTACGTGCTTCATCCGTTGGTGGTGTATTCGCTGTATATTTCTATTTATGAGGAAAACAAAAGGAAATTTAATTATATATGTAATACAGATGAGGAAGAAAAAAGAAAATCTTTTACTAACTTTAGCTATTTTCCTTAACAATGCTAATTTTTTAGAAAAACTTAATTCACTTGGTAAATTTTCTCGATATAAACGTGAAGCAGTCTTAAAGAACAAAAGGGTATTATAATCTGGAGCATTAACAGTTAATTCAGTCAATGAAGTTTGAATAGTTTTCAAAAGTTCTTGACAAGCTTGACGCTTTCCTTCACCACCAGATCTATATAAATCAACTAATCTTTGTTCAATTTCAATCGGTTGACCAACATCAACAAACACACGACTTCTAAATCTATGACGATTAAAAAAATTCAACCCGCAAGGTACAATTTTTAATTTCCTTTCTTTACCAAAAGCATCAGGTTCTTTTGAGGCCAAATAACCTAAACTCATTACAGCACAACCATATTTTAATGATAACATATGTTCATTATCATGTGAAGTTCCTTCAGGAAATATTGCAACACATTGTGATTTTGAAAAATGATTATATACTGCCGAATATACTTCTGAATGGGGTGGCATATGAATATAAGAATATGTTGTGGGTATGTCTGGCACAGAAGGAAAATTTGGTTTATAAGTTGATGTTGGTCTGGATGAAGATTGAGTTTTATGATATGAAGAAGATTCACTAGCATTTAACAGAGGTGTTCTTTCTGTTGCTTCAGGATTCTGTGGACACACTACAATTTCGTCAGGTTGGTCATCGTTGATTGGAAAAGGTAATTTACCAGGTGAAGATGATAACCTATCCCAACTTCTGCTTACGCTTTGTGTTACTGATTTTGGTATAAAATTTAGCCCTTCCAACGTTTTCATTGTATTACCTCTTTCAACTCTAATAAATACATTGCCGTATTCAACTAATCTTCTAAATTTTCCTTTTCTTCTTCCTTTTGTCAACCATTTCATTCCGGGTTCTTTTATACGTACTAAATCATCATTAATAATTTCTTCTACTGTTCCACTAGCTTCTTTTAACATTTCGTTATCATTAGGTCTTTCAAATTCAACATAAAGTGTATCGCCTACTTGTAATACTTTTCCAAGTCCTTCTCCCGTTACTTTTTTTCCTTCATCTATAACTTTAACTAACCCATCCCCATTAATTCTTTCTGCGTCTTGTGGTCTCGTCACTGGTATACATCCAAGTATCGTTATAATTGTTCCAAATATTGGATAATTAAAATTCGCTTTTGCACTTAAGAAATACATATTTCGTGGACAAGCTACAAAAATTGTTATTGCATCCATTAAAAAATTTCCATGTGGTGCCGCTATAAATAATATTGGTGTGCCATCGTCTTTCGGAAAATTTTCTCGATGAAATGCTCCATGGTCTCGATAAAATATTGTAAAGATTATTTTTGCAAAAAACCTTATTATTGAGTAAAGTATCTTTCTTACTATTGACATTATGTTAATATAATTTACAAGAAAAAAAAATTTTTTTTTTAAAAAAAAAAAAATATGCTCATAGAACGTCTTAATATAAATGACTGAATGAAGGAAGAATGGTTTTTTTAGGTTGAAAAAAATCAATAGATAGATATAGTCGATTTTAATCTAAATTATATTCAATTACCGAATTAGAAAAGTATACTTTGGCGTTATCGATAATACCAAGTTAAAAAATTACACAAATTATGACACAAGAGCTAAAAGTATTGTATGTTAAAAAAGACCCCTGAAATTTCTGCACATTTACATAAGTCAAGCTGATTTTAGGCAACTTTTTTTTCTTATCGCCAACTTGCAGAATGCATAACACGTTTCCTTCCATTATTATCCATTATTATCTTAATAGGTATATCCCTATCTGTTATCAAGAAAACATTTGAAACGCGATTGATGAAAAAGAAAATTATTATTATTGTTTCCAAAAAAATTATTTTTTAATTATTTTTACAGGTTTTTTACTACTTCGATAAAATTTAATTAATTTTAATATAAATCTATTTAAACAAAAATAATTTTTTCACGTGATTATCGTGCTATCGTGTTCATCGTGTTTATATATATCAAGATTATCTCCAAATTCTCGCTCCGCGACTAATTTGGCGTATGATTTGTGGTACAATCTTGAAACCTTCAATTTTGCGGCCGAGCTTCCCATAAATTTTAGCCTTTACAGTATTTTTGAAACGATAATTCGATTTAATTACTATATCATTATATACTGATTGATTAGAGATTGAAAATGCGCCAAGTGACTAATTTCAATTGAATGATAAATGCTAAATATGAAATTATTAATTGGATAAGTGATCGACATATATTACGCGATATATTGATACACTGATACACAACCCTATTTTGTAAACAATTTCATTTACATAGTTTTTTTAGGTCTTGATAAGTTGGTTTAAGATCTATTAAGAATAAAAACCATTGGAAGTTTAGAAATAATGTACAATTTTGTTAATGTAAAAGTCGTATCAGCAGGCCTGACAATTACTGCAACTGATGCTACCAGCGACCATTTACCAACTAATATCAGTCCCGGTACTCCCGATGAAGAAGGAAGGCAATTTTATTATAGACCTGTCAGAAGGCGGGAAACAAAATGGGATCTTTACTGTACCAAGCTTGGCGCTGCATTAGCGCGTGAGTTAAAAAAGGCTAACAAGAATATTGTAATTAACAATGGTAGGTTCAATTGTAATAGTGTCTCAACTGGAATTTATTTTATTAATTATCTTTCCTATTTAACCATTTAGAAGTATTAACCGATTTACCTGAAGGTTATAAACTTTTCGAACATGTCAAGCATTATGTTCATGAGCCAAAAAAATATAGGACGGACACGTATTTGTTCGGTGAGTATTGAATGAACGCTTTCAAAAGAATATTTATAATAGTATTCACTATCAATTTATATATAGGTTTTGGCTCGATTAAGTTTCGATCTCCTGCGGAATTTGAAGACCATTTATTATGGTTATCGTCAGATCAATCTACCAATTGTTTATGCAAATATTGTTCTAAAGAATCAACTCCAAGGAGGAGAGCGCAATCTAAACGATCTACACAATCTACACCACAAGGACCTAACCAACGGACGCCAAAAAAAAGTTCATCTGACCAAGTGGAAAGGAATGAGCGAGAGTCTCATGAAACTTCATCACCTATTACAACCCCTAATCAAGTAGTTTTATATTCAAGATCAAAAATACAACTTCTTCCTGATGCGAATCATTCTAGTCGAAACGGAGAAATAGTATGGATTAAGACGCCACTCGTTCTATCCGAAACTTATTTAGAAGAATTGAAAAAGAGCAAAGTAAAGATTGAACACTGGCCAGGTTATGTTATTGAACGACAAAAGTTTTCGCAAGTCGTAAATAATGTGTCTTTAGGACCGATGATTGATAATCTATACTATAAAGTGCAGCCTCTCAATATAGCAGGAACTCAAAAAGTGTCAGGAGAGCAAATAGCTCCTTGGCTACTTTTATCATCAGAAAGCCTTGTAGAGAAAATTTATAAAATGAGAGATGCAAATCGAAGAACAAGTTCTCCGTTACTAATGCGCATCATCAACTTATTCTGTTCAGCATATGATACTGCTAAGAGAATTAGTAAAACTTATACTCCATTAGATTCTTATAAGTATATATTGCCTCCACATTTTCTATCAAATATTGAAGATTCGAATGAAAGGCGATTACTTCAGGAGATGGAAAATTATACGCATTACAAAACGTTATGTTTTGGTACTGAAATTCTGAAGGAGGATGATCACGTTAGAATGAATGATGTTGAGTCCAAAGGGGATAATATCAGGATTTTCAAGATTAACACGATATACAAAAATTTTGATAATAAGTTATTATTTAATGGAGACATTTACTTAAAAGCGTTTACTAAAGGTGATAAGACCAGTTGGAGCAAGTTGAATGATGAAGATAAAGAATATTTTATTGAACTTAAAGACATTTCCGGTCGTTATTATGATGAGTTTCCACACATTAATAAGAGTATGGAAGTTAATGAATCCGTTAGCCTTAAAGAAAGGAAGAAATTAATAGAAAGACAAGAGACAAACAAGTCTGAACCTAGCCCCTCTCAACCTATAGCTAGGAAACAAACGGCTAAGCATTCAATATATTTTGATAAAATACCTTATACTCCTACAAAGAAACTTAAAGTACAAAATGAAAATGCGACTTCCCAACACGTGAAACAGGACATCCAGCAAGAGAAAGATAATCATACAAATAACGACGAGTTGGATCATATGGACGTAATAGAAGTTCAACGAGAAGTTGATCCGATAATTATTTCACCGACTATTCCATTCTTAGATGAATTTGATGATGAGATATCAGAAAAAGAGAGTGATTTGTTTGAAATGCTATCTAATAATAATCTTGAGAATTCCCAGCTTATTTCAAGATAATGGTGGATAATTATTATAAAATTATTGTTACATTAATAAATAATTCTTTTTATAATGAATTTATATAATAAATCAATATTTTTGTAGCTTTTTTGTAACTTGTTATTCGAAGTTTTTATTCATAGTATTTTATAGTACTAGAGTCAATTTATAGTGTAATGGCATTTAGTTTTATTGCTTAATTATATGAAAATTTTGTGAATACGTCATACGTGGACGATCAGTTTTTTCATCCACTAACACACGTTAAATATCGACGATCATTTTTTCCAAATTCGGTAAATTCGGTATTTGATAATATATATATATTCGTTTATTTAAACCTGACTCATTTAATTTATCGATTCCAATGGACAACGAAGGTACTATTTGTTAACAAAATATTTACAAAAAAAATTATTAGTTCTAACGACATGGAAAAAGAGCTTTTTCTTTTTCTATATTGTATAGGTTTTGATTTTTCTCTTTTGGAGGAAAATATCTGTAATATAAAAAAATAATAAAATAAAATAATATCAAAATTAAAAATAAAAAAAAACAATTTTCTCTATTAAATAATGTTAGTATTACAAAATATTGTTCAAGCGTTGGATATAATTTATAATCCATCGGTTACAAATGAAGCAAGGATCAAAGCCCAAGAGGTTTGCTTTTTTCATTTTTTAATCATTTTTAAAAATTTCAATAAAAAATAACGGAATATTTATTTTAAAATATATAAAGTATTGCGATTCAATTAAGGATCATTTAAGTTCACCAATTTATGGAAGATATTTGGCACATATAGAGAATAATCAGTCGCTAATATTACGTCATTTTGGATTGCATTTATTAGAAAATGCAATTAAATTCAAATGGAATGATAGAATTTACAACAATGATGATAAGCAACAAATTAAACAAGCTATTATTGAATTGGTTGAAAGGGTATTTAGAAAATAATCAATTAAACTTTCGATTTTTTTTTGTGCATGATTTTTTTTAATTCAACTTATATTCAGGGAACTCTAGATATATTGACAGAACAATCATTTATTAAAGAAAAAGTTGCAAAATTATTTGCCGAAATAGCAAAGAAAGAGTGGCCATCAAGATGGAATGACATGGACAAATTATTACACAGACTTTATAGCGAAAGTGTACGTTTTTCATTACAGAATGATGCAATTTTATTTTGCTTTTCTTTATCAATCAATAATTCATTGTATAATTTGATATAGCCAACTAGACAAGAAATTGTGTTATTTATATGTCGTTATTTAGCGGAAGAAATGGAAGTACGAGACTCATTACAATGTGTATTCGTAAGTTCAAATATATTAAGAATTCAATATCCTGATGGATTGAAAAAGGAAAATAGACGAGAAGATTCAGGAAATGTCATTATTATGTCTGGAGATGATCCGAATAATGAGGGCTGGTTAATCCGGTGGACAAGAAGTTTAGAACAAATCGTTGGTGAATGGCAAAATCAAGTAATAAGCCAAAAAAAATTAATGTTAATTTAAATAAAATTAACTTAATATAAACTTATTAATTCTGTTAATTATAGAAACAATTGATAAATCCAAATCCACAATTAATTTTAATACAAGAAAAATTAGCTATCGCTATTTTAAATACTTTAGCTGCTACTTTGGATTGGATTCTTACAAAGTATTAAATTTAAACATATAATGAACATTAATTAGTAAATTGCTTTTTATTATGTGTTGAATTTATTTCAATATTTCTTGTTATTCAATTAGATCAATAGTGGAATCAAATACTGTGTTTATTCTATGTAACTGTTTATTAATCGATTGCCATGGAATAAGGATGGTAAATAATATTTTCGTATGTTTTCAAAAATTTGAAGTTCAAGTTACTAGTTTGTATACAAACTTTTTATTGAACTACATTATAGGAGGCAATCGAATGTCTTGCGAAAATTTTTTTACGAAATTTTCAGACAGCAGAAGATCGTGCGATTGTTTTTCAACCATTATTTGAAGGAGAATGTATGGATTTATTATATAATGCATATATTAAAATACAACCCGTTGGAAAAGAAGTAGAAGTATTATTGGAGAATGATGAATACACATTTTTGAAAGGATTTGCCGAAGTTCGTATTATTTTCATCATAATTATCTTTATTTTAAGAATTATTTCATTTATTTTATATATGTAGGCTATAACAGCTTTGGGAGTAAGACACATTTGTTTTAAGAATATTTCAGTGATGCCGAAACAATTTCCAAAGTAATATTTATATATATATTTAATTATTATTTTTTAAAAAGATAATTTGATTTATGGTCTTTTTTTTTTTTAGATATTTAGAATTAATTTATATAATTTCGAAACATCCATCAAACGTGATAACATCTATATCATTAGAATTTTGGCAAGCTGCAATGAAAAATAATTTTATCTCAAGGGTAAACGGAATTTTTTTACTTGTTATTCTTAATTTAGATCTAATCTGAGTTTTTATTTATTAGATAATAAAAGAACAAGAAAGCGTATTAATAATGTTGCTGGAATTATTGGCAGAAAGGCTTTCAATTGTAATTACTACCAGTTCTTCTATTAAATCATTTTTTGAAGATTATTATATTTTAAGTAATTAATTAGCAACTTTTTTAATAAGTTATTCCGACCTTCAGAGTTTACTGAAACTCCCACATCGTTTTATATGGATCTTGATTTTGATTCAGATAATGACTGCCGAATATTTGGTCAAGCATTACGTTCAACAAAAATTATTGAAATTATAAAAAGTTTATCAGTTTTAAGACCTATTGAAGTTTTTAGATGGATAGTTAATAGAATACAAATTACATTCAACGTGAGGCCTAATGTCGAAAGTTTAGATAGTAAGCAAATGTTAAGACTCTAAAAGTTGTTTATTTTATTTCTTATTAATCATTTAAAAAATACGGTTTTTTAGTTAACGGAGTTGTTAAACTTGATTCTGGATTTTATATTAAATTTGATGCTGAAATGATTTTAATGGAATCGATTGTTATTGGATTAGGAAGATTAATTAAAAATCTTGATTATAATGATATTAATAGTGAGGACAGAGAACAAATTATAAGTGGAATGAATAATTTATTACAAATGTTGTTAGAAATTAATTATGAAGTAAGATATAAATGAGAATGTCTATTTTTGAGAAATTTCTTTTAATTAAACAATTTTTTTTATCAGGATGTGCTTATGATACATAGATATCTAACAGCATTAGAAGCATTTGAGGGTATTTTACAAATTGATTCAAGATTACTTCTTCAAGTGTTACAAAAGGTGATAATATACGTTTTCTTTTTTTTATATTTAACATTTTTATTAAACCAATTGTAAATATTTATGTTTATTTTTTAGATATTTACATTTGTAACATTTTGCCCACCAGGACATAATATTTCGGCAAATCCTTTATTACCTCTTCCAATAAAGAGATTAAGATTTGGAGCCGTTACTACCTTAATTAAATTTGGAGTTGCTATGCCTGACATTTTAATTGTAATTAAAAAACATTTTTATTTTGATTAGTTAATTATTGTATAAGTGGATTAAATAAGATTTATTTTTTCTTTAGAATATATATTCCGATATCAATAGTTACATTAATGAAATAATCGATAAGGATAAACATCTTGTTACTGGAAGAGAAAAAAGTTGTTTGCTGGAATTTTTGCTATCGATAGTGTAAGTTCTTATTGTTATCATTAATTTCATCTTTTAGGGATCCCCTTACTCATCTAAAAATTTAATTTATATAGGTATTTTTCTAATATTTCGTTAGAACAAAAAAAGCCATTGTTTGATTCAATAGTTAATCCAGTTATTAATAATTTCCAAAAAAAACCAGCTATAAAATCAATTCAAGGATTCTTGGACAACACTGGTTTTAGTTCTTTAGCTAAAATGGGTAAGTTATTTTTTTTTAAAAAAAAATTATTACGTCTGTTCAATTAATATTAATTAATAATAATAATATTTTTTTTTTTAAAAAAAAAAAAAAGTCAATGAAACTAAACAAAAGGCAAATGTATATAATTTAGCATTCGAAGAAGAGCGTATTTCTAAATCGAAAAGAACTATAACTTGGTTTTTGACCACTATTTTAAATTGGTTGAAAAGAACTACAGATTATTCTTCCAAGGTAATAAATATGCGTTAATTTGGGTATAAGTTTATTTATAATAATTATTTATAATAACTTTTATTGTAGGAAGGAAATAATACAATAGTGACTGAAGCATCAAAATTATGGCGGCAATATATACCTTCCATATTAAATATAACACTTGATCTTATAAGGTAAGTTATTATAAGAGGCTTCACATCGAGTTTTTTTTTATAGAATTAATATTTTTATGGTTTCTTTCTCGCTTAGAGTATTACACCAAGTTTGGAATATTGAAACTTGGAGGGAATTTCCCGTCGAATTACATTCTATTATATCATTTTCTAATGAAGATAAAGCTAAAATTATTGGTATACACTTATACGTTTAAATAATTAATAAATTACTATGAATTCAATTGTTAAAATATAAATTTTTAATAGGGGTGCCACAAAAATCTACAATGATAGATTCACAACGTTCATTTGATGAGATTATTGATTCACTTAGAAAATGGCTTTCAAGTATAAGAATTGACTGGTAATTAAAAAAGACGCTTTTAATTTATAACAAATGATTGCTTATTTTTATTATTTCTTTATTATATTAAGCTATTACGTACTTGGTCGATTGCCACTTCTTGGTTCCAACTTTTACACAGCATTGCCAAACGTAAATGAACTAGTAGCCCAGTCACTATTTGAAAACGTTGAATGGATTAATAATATTCATTGGAAATATTTACTAAATATCCTTAATTATCATTATTATCATTGAAAAAAACTTTCATTATCACAATCCTTAATCTGGTGAAATTTTTTTAATTGATACATATAGTAATGAAACCATATATATTAAATTGCCCTACACCTTCAATACTTTCAAGTTTTTTACCACAATTATTTAAGTATATGGACGAAAAATTATCAAAAGAATGGAATGATTTAATAATAAATGGTGTACATATTTCTACTTTAGAAGAGTAAGTAAATTAATTTAATCTATTACATATTATCATTTTAAAAGATTATTTAAATAATATATTTTCATAATCTTTTTATCAGAGCGAGTGCATTTGAACAAAGTTCATTAGATATAAACAGTAATGAATTTGAAGAAATATTTAACGAAAAGGTTTTAAGAGATTTAACAAGGGCTTATGTGGATTTATTAGAACCTATCTTCGGATCTGGTGCTAGTAGTAAGTTAATAAGTTAATAATTGATCAACATAAATATAAAATTAAAATATATTTATTATTTATTTATTTTATTTAAATCTATTTTCAAAATCAATTAGAAAATGACGAATTAAAAGAATATATGCTGGATTATATGGTAAAGTCTCAAAATCGTTTTTTTTTAACAAATAATAATAACAATAACAATAATAATAATAAATAATTTTTTAAAAATAAAACTGTAGCCTATAACGGAATATTTATTAAGAAGTCTATGCCATTTAATGACATGTAAGGACTCTGTGTCATGTATACGGACAACTCAGCTATGTGTAAGAATATTGCCAAGTTTAATAAAACGAGAAGCACTAAGGGAATTTGTCGGAAAAGAATTATTATCTTCAGCTTTACAAGTAAGTTATACGAGTATTCAATTATCTGTTATTTTCTTACAAATACCTTCCAAAAAGCGGATTAACTTGGTCAATTTAGGCACTTCATGATGGTTATCATAAAGAATCACATCCTGTCATAATATCTTTAATAACGGATATTTATATCGATTTGAGACCTATTTCTACTATACCTTTTGAAACTTTTGCTAACTTGTTAAATATGGACTATGGAAAGTTACAAGTAAGAAACAAGTTTATTTATTAGTTAGATTTTTTGGATTATTCTTAATTTTAATTTTTTTTATAGAAATTCGAAGTTGATTTAAGCCGTGCGTCTGAACTTAAGATAAGAAAAAATATTGTAAAAAAATTTTTAGAAGGAATAACTGGGGTAATTATACATTAAATCAAAAATTATAATTAACATAACCCAGAAAAATTATTTAATGTTTTTCCTGCAAAATTTAGGTTTCAAAAGGTGAATGGTTTAAAATAAATATTACAGGAGAACAAAAAAGTACAAAGAGAACTCTTGCAGGAAATTATATAAAACCTAAAATTGGAGTATTAGATGTAGATGATCCAACAGGATTAGTTGATCTGTTCGATTAATAAAAATCATGATATTAGCGTAATGATAGAGGTAAGTTGATAGCAATTCAGATATCAGTTCTAAAACAATAGTGGCATTATCTGAAAGAATAATGCATAGCACTGAATAGCAGAGTATTTGAAAACAGAAATTGATTACTATAAATTACTTTATAAATCTATCCCATATATTAATTTTTTTTTTATTTCTTCGATAGTTTTTCTTCGGGTCCTAAAAGATTGTTTTGTTAAGAAATTTTAATGTCAAATGATTTCACATTTTATGAAACTATAAAACTCTACCAGTTATTCAAAACCAGTTACTGAATCTTTAAATTCCTGATATCATACAATATGTGTCTCTATTAAAATTTTTGGTTGTGTCTAGTGTAGCAAAGCTTAAATAACAATATAATGATAAGTTTTTGAGGGTACTAAATTATTGTCAAATTTACTAACACTCAATGATAATTCCACTTATGATTATTCTGTAGTAATTGATAAGGGATTTAAAAAAAATTTAACAATTAAACAATCTGAAAGATATCATCGAACAGAAAAAATATTTTTATGTATTGTCCCTAGTATGATAAATAAAATATCCTGTATAGTTCAAGAAAATAAATATTAGAAGACGATATAAGACATCACCGAATTATAATTTGAAATGTAACAGCTACTATATAAAGCATATTTTTTTCATATCATCCTTTTCTAGTATATTTCTAACTCCAATATTGTATGCTATGTAAAATGATGGACCAATCAATCATAATACAAAGTATGGCCTGTAGACTACCTGTCTCTTATACACATCTAGATGTGTATAAGAGACAGTCTAGTATATTTCTAACTCCAATATTGTATGCTATGTAAAATGATGGACCAATCAATCATAATACAAAGTATGGCCTGTAGACTACAACTCACGAAGCGGATTTGTCTTAATTGTAATATAATTGCTATACAAAATTTTTTTATTAAATGTTCAATAAAAAAAAAAAATAAAGAAGATATAAAAATGTATAAATACTATCAACTTTTAGATTTTTAGATGTAGAATCTAATACATTATGTCACCGACATCATTATAATTAACGGTAACATTATATTTATATTGTAATTCTTTAATAACATCTAATTCGTCTTTATCAAAATCATTTCTTCCACCAATTCCAAAATATTTCAAAGTTCCTTTGACCATTGCAAAATCTCTTACGATCATCAAATGAGAAATATCTAATCTTAAATAATTTATAATTAATACCCTAATTGGAGCCACACATTCATCACTTAATAATAATTCACATAATTTTCTAACAGAATAACCACATTGTAATTCTAAATACCAACAACTTGATGGTAAATCTCTAGCATGAATGTTTAATTCTTCATAATCACTATTCTTTGGACTAATAATAACGGTTAACCTTTCTAATAATAAAGCATGAAATAAATTATATAATAAAGAATTAGATGTAGATGAAGAAGAAGATGATGATGATGATTCTGTTGTAATAATATCATCATTGCTAATGAAATAATCCCGAAGTTTTAATGTGGTGATATTTTGACAACGATTCTTGATGGCATTAATAATTTCTGGAGTAATTAAATCCAAACATAATTCTTGACATGTTGTAGAAAGTAAAGATTCAAGAATTAATTTTGGAATTTGAGAATTTTTTGGAGAACATCCAATATTTAAAGATTTTAATCTCATACCACCATTATAATGAGAAGAATTAAAATCTTTTACTAATAAAGGTAAACTAGATTTAGTTAAACCAGTACAATGATAAATTGTAAGATTTTTTAATTTTTTACAAGAAATTATTGAACGTAAATTAACTTTATGAAAATTAATATTTTGAAATTTAATTGAAATTAAACTATTATAATGAAAAGAAAAAAGGATTGGTATAATAAAATTTGCACCAATTCTAGCACCAGATAAATTAAATTCTTGTAAATTTTTTTGAGATTTAATAATAGAAATTAATAAATCTATTATAATTTGATTATTTTCAAAATAAGGTAAAGTTATATCTAAATGATATAATCCTTTACATAAAGTAGGAAAATATTGTAAAAATTTAAAAAGATTATCAGAAATTGGATTATAATAATTAAGAGAGAATTTAGTAATTTGTGATAAACCAGGATAAAATTTTGTAAATAATTCAATATTAGGAAAAATATCATCAATTTGTATAAAATATTTATCTATTTTAAATGATTGTAAATTATAAGAAGGATCAGTTATATTTTTTGTTAAAAACATTTTACATAATGATTTTGTTATTAAATAAGTTAATTTATAAGTATTCCTTCCAATAAAAGATTTACGATAATATTTTATACCAGAATCAACTGATTGATATAAATCAACGTATGATAATTCTTTTAAATAAATTGAATAATTAAATAAACTATTTTTATTATTAGGTATTTTAAATCCATATTTTAAAAGTTTTGAATTTAAAAAAATTTTTTCTTCTTCTGATAAACAAGTTATATAAGTTCTAATAAGTTTATATCTACAATCTTTTGATAATTTATCAAAAGGGTTTGACCATAATATAGGAATAACATTCCTACACCAAGAACGACAAACTAATAAACATGAAAATAATCCTGAAAATCCTACATTTTTAAATATTTGTGTAAGACATTCCATTGGTAATGATGATAAATCTGTTGTTGTTATTGTTGATGATTTTGTTGAAGAAGAAGAGGAAGAAGAAGATGATGATGATAATTCTAATGAAAAATCTTCCAATTTTGATTTTTCTAAAGAATCTAATCTTACATTTTCATAATTTCCTAAATCATTAAATAATTCTTGTTCACATTCAATTTCATAAAATTGTTTATGTTTTTTAACTGTTGTTGCTTCTTTAGATTTTAATTCTGTCTTTTTTGATCTATGATTTATTATATGGATTATACGACGAAGTAAAAAACAATATTGTCCCATAATTTTGAATTTTTACAAAAAAAAGGAAAGAAAAAGGGGGAGGGAAAGAAAAACGAAAAAAAAAAAAAAAAAATTTTGAAAGACGGAAATAAATAAATGAATGAATGAACGTATATATTATATGAATAGCCTCGCCACATTCTTTTTGTAATTGTTGCCTTTCTGAACACGTTTTTTGTTTGCCCAACCTCAACGGGAACGGATATAATCATTTATTATTTTTTAATTATGAACAAATTTAAATATGATTATCATCAAATTAAGTAAAGATCTAACGAAAAATCAAGAATTTAAAAATTGTCATATACAAATAAATGTTATTTTGAGTGGCTTAGTAAGAAAATCTTATTAATCAGCCCAAAGCCCAATTGCTAAGCAATAATATTTGTGAATCGATTGTAAAAGCTTGGTCATTATAAGCCATATCCTCTTTTTCATGTAACTATATTTAAAAAGAGGTTTTTTTTTTTTTTTTGGACCAATGTTTACGATTCGGTTAATATAGATTTGACAATTTGTCAAATATTTGGGATCGGAAGTAGCAATTTAGAACATTCCATTTGAAGACGTGGATATTACATGTAATTATACGTGTGCTTAACCGGCTCGTTCGAGGCATGTGACAATATAAAATAATAATTTATTATAATGATTAAAAATGAATTATAATTAAATTATAAATAAATAGACACGCTATAATTAGCATTATATGATAGTTTCCTGGTTTGTTGGTATTATGTTTTTCTGGTGTCCCGAAAAAAACTAAAAATGTATCCTGTTTTTTAATGTTATAAGAAATATGCGTGTTTCACCAAAAACGGGTGCATAAGGCCAGTGATACCTCACGCACGCGCCCACGCCCCTTACAGTAGATTTATAAAACAATATTTGTTACTTTTGATATATTGCTTTGTAACAATTTTAGGTATGTATAAAATCGAAGATAGACACTAATAAACTGGAAAGAAAATATAAGTATTGATATTGAGAGAAGTATAAAATCCACTGTAAATTTATGTTGTAATACGACAGACATATTGCAGGCAAATCATCTGCACCCATCATAGATCAGCACACAATGTAGTGTTTGCTATCGAATATTTTCTTCAAAGAAATATTTTTTTTAAAAAAAGAGTGCTTTTCAAAGGGAATTTTTTGGAATATTTTGGGTAAAGAAGTATAAGAATTGTCAATTTTATAAAGCATCCTACATTCTTACCAGGAAACCGATAAATTCCGATGATCTATATAATTTGACCTTTTTAAATCCGCGTGTCTATCCTATCTATCCTATAATATTTATATTGTGTCGACGTCATAAAATAAAATAGAGTGAATTCGTGAGTTCTATATCTGAGAACTTCACAGAAAATTAATTAATTCTGTGCCTAGATATAAAAAAATAACGATTGGATGGTAGTAATTATAATTAGTAACAAAGCATTACAGAAATAATACTATATCATCAATATCATCATAAATTTCATAAATTATAAATTATGAAATTCACAATATGTACAATATCTCAATATTACGCAAATATTACAAGGGATAATCCGAGAAATTTGGGCAGTTAATTCTTACTAAACGTAAAGAATCTTTAATTTAGACAATAGTTGGAAATTTTTGTAAAAACACGTTAGCGTTTCAATTTAATCCATTTATTATTAAATAATAAGGATCTAAAAATTTCGAGACAAAATTCAAAATGTTATTCACGTGAAATTATTACTCATAATGTTTTTTTTTTCTATTTTTTAAAGATGATTTTTCTGTGCGAAATAAACAATAAAATAAAGTAAAATAAAACTTCATTATTATTTTGTCAATTCAGTATGATTTATTAATTTATATCAAAAAGATTAATAAAAAAAAACAAATTAATAAAAAAAAAAGATTAAAAAAAGAAAAAAAAAACAAATCAATGAAAAAAAAAGGTTAAAAAAAGAAAAAATAACAAAAAAAAATTTCAAAAAAAATTATATCAATTTGTTCGTAAAAAAATAATTCAAATCCCAATTATTTTTTGATTGGAATATGCAGTATTTTAATAAAATATTTTATTATTCGAGATTAGAACGGCCATGACAAGTTGGCTATGGAAAAAAAAACCCCTTATCAATAGGTTGCTTTACATTGATATTGCCACAAGAAAAAATGAATGATAAAAACCTTTTATGGTGTAGGTGCTAACATGGCCATTGAAGTTAATTGGGCGAGAACAGAACCTGCCGCAACATTTCCAACGAATGCTTGAGCGCCGGCCGCCACGCTCCCAGCGACGATGCCAGATTGAGAGATTCCGAAGAGTCCAGCTGCAACAGGGCCAGCTCCGACAGCAATAGCTGCACCACCAACGACATAAACGACTGCAGCTGCCAATAAACCCATCTTTTCTTTTTTTTTATAAATAAAATAAAGCGAAAACGAGAAGGGAGCTTTAATAAAGATGTATAAATTGACTTAAAGAATGTATATCGGATGATAGATATAAAGATTATTAAATTGATTGCTGAAGAGAGGGAGGAAAATGGCGAGTTTTTAAAGCATTCTGCTTATCGAGAAAGTTTCACAATAATTTGTAGAATATTCTCAGGCGTTTTTTCAAAAATAGGCTTAAAAAAAATTTATATTGTTTGTTGTATCACGCAATTATAATTCCGGAATCCTAATATCCGAGTACTATCCCAAAAAGTTAATATATGGGAATGTTAATAAGCGTAAGCCCTATTTACCCACTTTTTTTTTGGAAAGATGTGCGGAGTATTTGTATTTTGATTATTTTAAATGTGTTCTTTGATAACTTTATAAGACTAAATTATTTTTTATGATGCAATGTATCATGTAAAATTGTGAATTAGTGATATAATTATTATCTTTTGGCGAATTCCTGACGATAAATGATTTGAAATAACGCGTGGAATTTTCTAGATCAATTTATTTCACAATATCTCTCATATTGGAGTCTCTGGAACTTTTAATATTTGTACTGTATATGAGCCGAGATAATTAGAGTTTCAGATGAAATTCTGTGTCACTTTTTCACGAATTTATATAATTTCTAATTCATCTAAAGCATTTAAATCTAATGAAATTAATGTTATATTCCAATGATTTTTTTTTATCGATAAATGAAAAGATTATCACGTTTTCTCAGCACTTTTTTTTTTGCGAAACAAAAGATTTCCCAATCAATTATGCAGATACAATTATGATAAATTGAATATTACCAAAGTCAACATAATCAATCAAAATTGTAATTTTTGCGTATTATCATACAAATATATACCTAATAAATATTAGGTCAGTATCAGGGCAAACCACTATTAGATTAATAAGATTAGATCTCTGACTAAAGATCTCTTAGTTCCTTCTTATCAACTAACTACGCTTGATTATATACTGAACCAAAATTTCTTTTCTAATTTCTTCAATATTAAAAACTGATCCGTTTTTTTGATTCCTGAACTAATGACGTGCGGCGTGATGTAATCACGTTCTGCACTTCATGACAAATATTTTTTAAGATCTCAAGAAGGAGTCACACGACAGCCGACAACATTGACATCGCAAAATTCCTCGGAGCATTACTCTCAGTTATAAAATTTTTGAATTGTTAACTTATATTGTTCAAATCAAAAATGTATGTACTGTACAGTAACCCTTAAATGATGCCTTGATTTTTCGACAACAATGAACGAAACCTGGAATAAAATCTTTGAACAAATGATCGATATGCTTGAACTGCTTAGTGAGAAATTAAAATTTGTGGATGATAAAGTAAACTTTGTGAATAATCAAAGTAGGCCTTGTAAATAATGAAGCAAAAGCAAAATGGAGTATTCTAGACAGTAAAATAGAAGATAAAATTCGATATATTAAAAAGATCCCATAACACAAACTTTCCTTCTTTTTAGTAAGACTCTTGAGAGTCACATTTTTCCATGTAAATAATTTTGTAATCCTAAACTATTCCAATTACAGGGCTGGTCTATTATATGGGGCTCGTATTACTCGTATTCATCTTTATCTTTATTTATCACATTTATGTTATAGTAGTAGTAAGGGTGACCTATCACTTAACGGCATTCAACAATTCAATAAAAGTTTTTCATATCTTTGATGAGTCTTATTTTCTTAAAATTATTTGACTCATTTGATGGCGAACCTTGGGTATGCATCCAGGGTAGTACCTGGGATTTTTGTCCAATTACCCGGTACTCTCCTCATTTATAAAATCGACTTTCTGCAGATATCAGATATACAATAAAATTCTACTAAATATAGTTGCCGCACAAATACATTATCAAAATAAATAATTTGTCAAAAAAGTAGTAATTCTTTCTATTAAATAATTTAAAAGAAAAAGATGAAGGTAAAAATACCAATAGTTTCAATAGTTTTTTCATTTATCAAGATGCGTACCTTTTTTTTGATTAATTCTTTTATTCACATATTATAAGTAAGGAAATAATCCTCAATTATTCACAAATAAGACATAACATTAAACATTATGTAAGATAATTACTGTATATAATATGAAGATTTTAATTATCACATCATCAAATCTTTAAATCACACAATTTACGATAAAGTTTGAATTTTATTAATGAACAAATTACAACAGAACGAAATTGATAGGGTTAACAGAACAAAATCTTAGGTTCTTTATACTTTCATTTAAAGGATATCTTCCATATTAATTACAAATCCATCAAGAACTTTTGACGCAATTTGAGAAGGATTTGAGTGTGTTAACCAAACGATTTGATTAGTATTAGAATCAAAGCTATAGATTCTTACTTCAAGTGGATTTACAAATCGATCAATTGATATTCCTTCCTAAATAAAACCAATAATTTAATATAAAGATTGATAAACAAAATAGTCATCATAATTTTTTTACTTACTTCAACTCCACCGTCAATCCATCGCAACATTTTATTATGAAAATATTCAGGTGAATCAATCCTTGAACGGAACTCCACAACGAAATTTGGTGCAACTGGTGGATATGCTCGATATTTTTGAACATCTGTTAGAGCGTTCCACCTGCAATAATAAAAAAAAAAAAAAAGTTTTTTCTTAAAATAAAATAATTGCAAAAAATGAAATTATTTTATTTTGATTATGTTTAGAAACCTGGCATTAAGAACAACAGCAATACTAGGGTTTAGAATATCACCATTTGGTAAAGTAACACATGTCTATAATAAACAAAAAGATATGATGTCAGAAAATAATAAAAAAAAAAAATCAACGAAACTCTTTCGTAATGTACTGTACCAAGGAAGGAATAAAGGTTCCAACCAAGTTGGAGTTAGTATTACACCACTCAATAACTCGAAAATTCATTTTTGTTTCTCTTTGAGCTAATACATACGATTTTAATACAGAAATGTAATATTTTAATTCGATAAAAACTGTCTTTAGCAAGCGACATACCAGTTTCAAATTCTACCGCTGGTAATATATCAAGCTGGCCATCAATAAGATTCATTCGAAAAGACTTAGGATTTTTGTATGAAGTTTCCTCAAATTGTTCGATATTACTTTTAGGAACTAAAGAACGTGGAAACATTTTGGAAGTATAAAAGAAGAAAAATCAGACAAATGGCGAGTCAAGTTAAATCATATCACGTTCAACGCAAAATTTTATTCACGTGAAAATTATATATTCAAACTTTTTTTTTTTTTTATTTAAATAGATTTTTTTCTGAAAATAAACAATGAGTAAAAATGGGGAAAATAAAAAAAAAATAAATGAAATAAAAAAATGAAACAAAAAAAATGAGTAAAATAAAAAATGTAGGATAAATATATTATACAAAAAAGTAAATATTATTTCACTATATAATTTTTGAATAGCTTTAATATAATATAATATTTTTTAAAGCGGCCATGAGACGAGAATAATGTAACGGCTACTGAAAAAAAAAACTATCAATAAGTTGCTTTATATTGATATTGTCACAATAAAAAATGAATGAAAAATGGTAAAAACCTTTTATGGAGTAGGCGATAACATGGCAATTGAAGTTAACTTTGCGAGAATAGAACCTGCCGCAACGTTTCCAACGTATGCTTGAGCGCCGGCCGCCAAACTTCCAGCGACGACGCCAGTTTCAGAGATTCCAAGGATCCCAACTACAATAGGGCCACCTCCGACAGCAATAGCGGCACCACCAACGACAGCAACAAATGCTGCTGAAAAGAAACCCATTTTTTTTTTGTAACAAAAATTGATTTTTAAGAGAGGAGATGGAGATTAAAAGACTGTATGTATAATGAATATAAAGATTAAATTGTCTGCTAAAAAGAGAGAGGAAAATGGCGAGTTTTTAAAGCATTCTAACTGACACAGTATCACACAAAATTTTTTGGTTCATCAGCAGGTGGCGTTCGGAATAGAATAGACTTAAAAAACAAGTAAAAAAAATTTTATATTGTTATATTACGCACTCAATAATTCCGGAACTCCTCATAATAACCGAGTACCTATCCCAAAGAGTTAATTTATGGAATGTAAATTAACTTCATGTGTGTGAAAAGCACCAATTATCCTTTTTTTTGGAAAGATGTGCGGATATTTGTAGCCTAGAAATTCTATATAGGTTATGGCATTGAGTCAGACAAATAAACTTATCGTCAATATAATTTTGGTTGGTGACCGACGATAAAATGAAAATAAATAAAAATACATCAGATGATATGATTTATAGTAGGACTGGGATAGAAAATGATTTAGTGCGTATAGAAGAGATAAATTGAATGGTAATAAAAAGGAGAAATCACAGATCTATGTTATTACAATACAATAACAATATATATATATATATATATATTCAACAAAACTAATAAGAACTACATAATACGAACTCTGAAGAAAAGAGATTTAATTTATTTAATTTGATTAATTTAATAATATGCCCCTTTTCACGATAATTATCAAAACATCTCTCATATAACTTAAGGAGTCCCTGGAACTTTTAATATTTGTACTGTAAATGACTTGAATATGAAGATTAGTCACTATTTTTTTTTTTTTTGAACCAACCAAATTTAGCTAAACTAAAACGGAAAAAAAAATTCCCAAAAGGTTAGATCAATATGGTAACAATTATGATGATTGATGAAATTGGTATAATGATCTCTAAACTTACCCATATACAGATAGTTATCTTAATAATAAGATCCCTAATTAATATTCCGTTTAAGGATACCAAAGTAAATATTTTTAATCTTAAATTTCAAAATAGTCAAATGAGTATTACATAACAATACAATATTTATTTTACTGAACGTTTTCTAATGATTTAACAACTTTACTTTAATGCTCTTATCATTCCAAGCATTTTCGACGCTATTGAATTCATTAGCTCGTTATTTAAATGGTTTCTTTGCTTAATTCTAAATAATCTCCCGATGTGTGGTTTTAATCTCCACGGGAGAGACTAGTTTAAACAATTTCCTGAATATTTGCAGCCGGTTCACATTCTAAAAATTAAATATAAATTTAATATAGTAAGTATTACCTCTATGCAAGTTCCAATACGCGACAATTCGGGAGATTGATGGTAATTTTTCTAATCTTATCTTTTTTTTTCATTATTATTATTATTATTTTCCCGTTTTAATAACTTTGTATATTTTTTTTAAATTATAATTAACTTGTACAAAAAAGTTCCGAATTGAGTAAATATGCTAGCCAAAATTTAGGGTCGTGTTAAATTCTTGGAAAATGATAAAAGAAATATCACTATTAAAGTGAAGCTGAAGACTTGAAAGTAAAAATGAATTTATTGAAAAAAATTATGCAATGAATTAAAAAGATATTCTCAACTATCATCAAGGTTTATTTATGTTTAAAATAATTTTATATTCGGTTTAGATGCATATATAAAGCTTACAATAAAACGTCCATAGAAGGGCGAAGAAGATAATAGTGATACTGAATGTTTTGAAGAAATAGATAACAATGAGGAAGAAGAAGAGAAGGAACAAGAAATCGAAGCGAAAGAGATAAAAAAAGTAATAATATTTTTTTGTAAACATTTTAACTTTTTATTAATTTTATGTGTTAATAGAGTAAGAGAAGACTATAATCTTTGAGAAAAAGAAAAAACGGTAGCATGGTATTTTGGATGGTTATTCGCTAAAATCTGATAACAACATTTACTTTCTAGTTAAAAAATAATTTGAAGGTATTATAATATCTGATATTTTTTAGTAACCACGGGTTAATTTTTAAAATCTGCTAACATTTTTTTTTTTTGATGAAGCTTGATTCGATTTTAACATGAAGTTAGCATAGGATTACCCACCAAAAAAAGTCTGCTAATACCGGAATGATTGTATACCAATACCAATCCGAGGATCGACGGATGGAATTTTGATAGATTTAACAAGATTTTTTTTTGAGATATCTTCGGATTCTACTCCAATACGCAATATAGTAAAATTAAAATCCGTTTCAATTATAAAATGGAGAAGAAATTCAACTCGGATCGAAAATCCATCCGATCGGATGAAAAATTCAATCTGAACCGAATTTCTCTTTTTTTTTATTATTAACAACACTTAAATTTACTATATTGTGTATTGAGATATGGTCTTAGTGTATCCGAAAAAAAATCCTTACCTTTATTAATTAAATCCACATGAAAATATTCCCATCCGTCGATCCTCGGATTGGAACTCTACCGCTGTGAAAGTTCGAATCCGCTTGATCTTATCAGTCTCCAACTCACTAGACAAATCATAAATATTCTAGGCCCTCTTTTTTTTTTCGGAGCAAGTTTTCACTCTCATAAAATATTTATATTGATCTTTAGGCACTTTCTGAAATGAAAATAGCAAGCCTGAATTTTTTTTTCTTCAATTCAAAAAAGCAAATCGATCAATGGATTAACAAATTATCACAAGGAACCCGATTACCATGTGAAAAAGTGATATGGATAAAATTATTATTGCAACATAATTTTGTTGATGAAAAAATAATATAAAATCTATTATTACGCGGAACTAGAAGATTTGTACATTAAGAAAATATGTATAAAGGGGAATGGTGTCAAAACGTACGCAAATGCTCTGAATCGTCTAGCACGAATATGACATAAAAGGACATGTTGGCTATCAGGCAAGACATACGCATAAATATCGTGAAATTTGGGGACAATATCTTAGATGTTCATTTCATGATGCGGGACATAATTTTATCTCTCCTTCTTTTATTCTTTTAGTTCTTTATACCTTCTAACCGCACCCTTCACATTTAATCCAATGATATCATTCAAAAGGCCTGAAATTCTCAAATCGTTGAACATTTTGTTCATGTTTCTTGTTTGAATGGAAAATTTGACCGGTTCTAGCAGTTTTACTATGATATTGATAGTCTTCACTTCCGGCGGTTGTGGCTTTTTGGTTTGAGCAATAAACCATCTTCCTTTCCCGGCTCATGAGAACATCGTCCGGAATTTTTGTAAGAAGCGCCTACATGATCGTGACTTCTCCCTCCATTCGTCCGTCACCTTAAAAATTAATAAGTTCGGTATTATTATTCACATACATGAATAAAATAATAATTCATTAGGCTTACCATCTGATGTTTTATTAGCAACTCCATTCTGATTTAAAAACATTAAAACTTTCGTTGTGTTCTTCATAGGGTTATCCCTTTGCAACCTACTTAACAAAAGCAGTTCAATTGAAAGATTTTCTTAACTCCTCTTTCGCTTTTTCAAACACTTCCTTTGTTTTCTTTAGGCAAATTAAAGAAACTCTAAACTATAATTTTTAGGTGAGTTTCCTCCATTTTTTAAGCTTTTATTCTAATTCCTTGACATTAGACATTTTAGTGTTAGCAGTGAGTTTTACGAAAAATACGCAGTTCAGTAAAAGGACTATGACTCAATTAGCTCATGATTAATTTGGTCAATTTATCAATTTAGCGGGAATAACGGAATTTCTTTTTACTTTTGATTGAACCATCGCTGCATCGCAGTAAAATCAACTATTTGTCGTGAACTGATAAGAAAAATCATGATTTATGATAATTTTATTAGTTTTATCAAAAAAATAAATTACAAATCAGGACGCAGCTTGTGATACATGGCGTTGCCACTTACAAAGTTTTCATTGGAAGGATTTAATAATTATGACTAATCGTCATTTGTCCACATTGTCGTTTTTGCGCATTGCAAGTTTTTCCGATATTGAACATTTGATACGAAAATGCGAAACACCCCTCAAACAATTTATTGATTTGGTAAAATTATTCCCAATTAATTCTTACCCGGTATCATGATATAAATTTAAATCCAAAAAAAAAATTTAAAAGTCATTGAATGCCCAAGAATTTTATTAAATTTCTTATTATGTTTAAGTATTTATAATTCAAACTTGGATATTTGGCGTGAAAAATGAAATTTTATGTAACAATCAATTCCCCAATTATTGAGTTTTCGTAATTATTTAACATTTCAAAAACTGCATCTAAATTGGATATTTTATATTACACAATAATTAAAATCGTTTATAAAAGAGAGGATAGGTTTTCTTCCGAAATTCTAAATTTAAAATAAAATAAAATAAAATAAAATACTGTAAATCATGACCGGAGAAAATCTTCAACAACATTGTTATATGTGTATGGTTGAATCAATGATGTGTATGATTCAAAACGCAAATTTCAATAATCCTAATAATCCTAATAATACTAATAATCCTAATAATTCCGCCAATCCTACCAATTCTACAAATCCTACCAATCCTACCAATCCTAATAATCCTACCAATCCCATCAATCTTAATAATCCTACCAATCCTAACAATAATAATCCCGCCAATCATATAAATAATTTAAATTTCTTACAAAGAAATTTATATCATAATATAAATTTTTCTATTAATAATCAATTACACGCAATCTCTCCAACTTTCTCCAATAGTCATCATCATTCCCATCAAATCCATGACGTCGCTATGCAAATAATATCACAATCGACCACAAATAACAATAACAATGCACAAACAAGTTCAAATAATGTTAATAATTCTGATTGAAGATTTGTCGTAAAATTATAATTAACATAAACGCATTTTTTTTTAAAAAAGACCTTTGCATTAATTTGATTTTCTCGAATTTTCTGATGAAAACGGACGTTTACTCGTTTATATATACGTACTTAAATTTACCACCGTTTAAGCTTTTAAGTCGAATTTTTTTTTATATTATGTAAAGTTAAGAACCTTAGTCAAAATTCAGGATTTTCTATTATGCTATATTTTTATTATGTTGTATATGTATGTCTCTTAATTTTAATTTATTTTTTTATGTACATTATGAACCAAATTTTATATGAATAAATTTTTATGGTCTAAAATATATAATTGCAAGAAGTACTGTATATATTTATTTATAAATTTTAACGAATGAATGCAAAGAATAAGCCCGGCTAGCTCAATCGGTAGAGCGTGAGACTCTTAATCTCAAGGTTGTGGGTTCGACCCCCACGTTGGGCGCATAAATCTTCCAATTAAAAATATAAAATTTTTTTTTTTGAACGGTCCGTACTCTACGACCGTACTGCATTATATTTTTTGCGAAATTAATCGTACAGTACTGTACAGTGCTTTAATAATATCAAATTAACCTTAATAGGCCCTTTTTACTGGTCAAATTTTTTCGCCCATTATTTCGTACAGTTGATATTCGTCACGTGATCTTAATATCACATGATTTTATATTTATATATTGTAGTCGCGTACTGCAAAATTAATTTTCTGATTAACTATAGATTCATTTATGAATTAAATTTCGGTGAATTTTGAAGAATGTCGAGAACCAGTTTAAGCAATGTTTCCTTTAAATACAATTTCAACAACTTCTGCCAGTATGTTCACTGACCGTGTAAAATAGTATGGCGATTTAATATAATAATACGCTTCTGATGCGGCGGTTGTGTTGAAGAAGAATTAGTGGCGTTTTATAAGTCCAGCATCAAAAGTAGTTATAGCTGCCCTAGTAAAGTAAGTACATGTGATACAACCATTAATTTTATCTAATAAATTAAATGGTTTCTTTTTATAACTAATATTCTGTTAAATGAATTTAACAAACGATATAATTTGAATTAAATCATACTATCAAATTCTTAGAAAATCAAGCAAAGGGCAAATTTATTTATGGATTGGGATATTCCGCATTATAATGACGATTATATTGAAAAAAAAATCTGTCTGATGTATTAATAGTTCTCGCGTAAGTGGTAGTGTGACTATCACGAAACCTATTATCCTTGATTCAGATTCATGTGAAAATATAATTCAACAAGTTGAATTTTCAAAAATAGACAGTAGACTGTAGCAGTTTGCGATGATGGTGGAAATCGAATGCTGATACAAAATTTCAAGATTCAACTAATAAAGATTAAGATGATAAAATAGTAATAAAAGGTTCGGGAAGTGATATAAACTAATAAAAATTGATTATATATTAATATATGCTCTTAATAAATATCTGTGTGATTTGTTTTTTTTGTTTTTATTATACTCTGTTTATTCTAATGCCCTGATGATAATGTTTCTTTTTACATACGTTATGAACGCGAAAAAGAGTCTGCTGTTACTACCATCCGAAATCGGAAGTGCGGTATGAACTGAAAAGAGTACAAGTTAATGATGTCGTTCAGTAAGTTATAATATTTACATTCGTGTTATTAGTGCTTGTTCAATAACCATCAGAACTCTGGAAGAAACGAATATAAGGCTTAGGGAAAACAAAACAAGTTATCACACATAACTATATTTAATAATCAGATAATGAGATGATCGTTAACAACGCTTCCCTGTTGATTCGCTATATGAAATCCTGCCGCAAATCCTTCATTAAAATTCTAAATACTGTACATTCATAAATATAGATTTTGATCCTATTGCTTTGATTAATAAAGTTTTGAAAACTAATCAGTAATCACTTATCATATAACATCTAGTATTGTATTAATCATAAATCATAATAATAAATAATAACAATTATAATAATAATACCATATATCATGAGCCATAGTACCCTGAATATTTTGCAAAAATTGGGGGTTTGATCCTATACCCCAAGTACTAAATAAAACTTAAAAATTCCATTTTTGCAAATATCTTACGATCTACTAGTCCAATTTGAGTGATCTTTTTTTTTATTTTGAAAAGCTCAATGAAAACTATTAAACAAAAAAAGATGATTTAAATCTGATTACTGAATCACAAGATAAATGTAAAATACCCTTCTGAGTACTATTACTACTATACAATTTTATAAAATTTCTCAAGAGGAATATTATATATAGGGGAGTACTATGACTATAATATATGGTAGTAAAATTTATATTTTCATATATTATGTCAATTTTTTAAACATCAAGCGTCTGGACTGCATTCAATATCTAGTACATTATATCTAGATACCAATTGTTCGTGTATTGGGAAAGAAAAATTTGATTGCTATACATTCCATAATAAAAAATATTTTAAATGCAAGTGATCAACTGTTTAGATATTATTATTATTATTATTAATAAGATCAAGATCATAAATTATATAATAGTTATGTCTTATAAGTCATTTTCTTAAAAATTATGTCAAATATACTCTAAATTACATCTAATATACGTCTATGATATGATGTAACTTAATGTTATGTTATGTCATTAAGTTTGCACTCTTAATATCTACTGAATTGCATGATTTGCATAAATAAATTTTTTTTTGGATCATTTATCAGTTCTTTTTTTAACTATTAAATTTTTTTTATTTCCAAATTAGCTTGAAATGGCCCATTATTTTCATAGAAATATTTTATTAACTCGTTTTATTACCCATCAAGTTATGTTCTCTCAACCACAAAAATTTGCAATAAGAAATTCAAATCCTGTTCTATTTCAATTATCACTTTCAAAATTTTACACAAACTCTATTTCTTCTTCGTCTTCTCCTCAAAATGATTCTAATTCCTCCTTCTATCTAAATAAATTTGCAAAAGCCACTGCAAAACAGCTTCCGGTATAAGATTTTTATTGTTTGTTATGCATTATTTATTTTAAGTTTTCAACATATTAGTGTTTGGAATCATGTAACAGTTATTCGAATAACTCGAGTATATTCGAGTATTCGAATAAGCATAGTGGTTATTCGAGTATTCATTTAGCCAGATATACTTTGCTGAAATCTCTGATTTTTTAAAATATTTTTACAATATTTTTACAATATTATAATTATATATATTTAATAAATAAATAATATGAAATTGAGACTCATAAGAATATATTTTAAATATATAAATATATATTAACAATATTAATACAATATATTTGTTATATTTGAAATAATATATTTAATATATAAATACTTAATATTAAATATATAAATACTATATAATTAATATATTATATATATATATTTAGGATATAGTATTTGTATATTCAATATATATATATAATATATTTAACATATATTAAATATATAGTATATATATATTTAATGTTTAGTATATATATGTTTAAAATATATTTATTAATATATTATATATATATATTTTTTTTTTTGCAAGGTAGTGCAATTTGTGAGTTTATTAATTATATAAAAGACAGAAAGTTCTGTTACATGTATAATTAATTTGTTTAAAACTCCAAACCGGTCCCCCATCCATAAGATTGCTCCCGTGCCCTACCATCACCTTATGAAATTCACCTATATCCTCCCATAGTAGCTATCAGATTATATAGGATCATCATCATCATATGGCTTTAGTAAATGCTTTCACTACCCTCTAAACAAAAAGAAGAACTATATTTGTATTTATATAATTTGAGATTGTTATATGCCTTCCAAATTACCCTATTTCCATTTTTAATAAATTGATTTATATATTGTCTTGTTTTTTCTAAAGCAACTGACCACTGTTCACCACATTTGAAAATTTTTCTTCCCTTCAGGTCATATGTACCATCTTCCACTTGCTGGGTTGGAATTCTTTCATATACTATACGTTGTTGTGCTGATATTTTTTTCCTTAAATCTTGCTTTTTAATTCCTTTTGTACGTTCCCAATCTGCAACTATGTCACAACGTGGTTGCCAAATAACCTTATAAAATTCAGTAATAAACATTTCTAAAAAAAGGGAAGCAATTGTTAGTGTAGCTTTTTCTGATTTGACAATAGACCTGAGTTCTCTATATCTTCCTTTTGGTAAAAGATTCCTTAACATTAGATGTACAAATTGGATAGGCAACTCTTGGTTAAAACCTGTTGTATGAACAAAGAATTTTCTATTCCATAGATGTAGTTGTTGTATATCCTCTTGATTTAGTTGAATATATTCTTTTTTTGAGAGAAAGTCTTTAATCATTTGTTCACATTTGTTTATAGTATTGTTGGCCATTATTAACCATTTATCTCTGAGTTGCTGGCAATAAATTATATGATCATCATCTTCATTTTCTACAAGACATAACCTGCACTTTACATCTCCATATAAATCATATCTTCTTTCTTTCATAATTTCCAAAGTTGGTAATAGATTGTTTGTAAGCTTCAAGTGTTTGATGAAATTGTTATTTACTGTTGTTGTTGTGCAGTTAAATCCTGTGTTTTTTTTAAATATTGCCCAAGTAACTTTCTCTTCTATCATGTGAGTTGTATCTTGGAAAATTGTTCTGTGTGTATGATTAAAGGACCATGATGCCTCTAGTGCAGACCTACATAAATTATCTATAAATTTCCTGATGTGTCTGTCAACCCTCTTACCATCCCAGTATAAATCATATTTTAAGTCTTTCTGTTGTGAATCATTAATTGTTATGCACGTTGATTTTCCTGTGTCATTCTTAGCCACTCTGTCTGCTTCTTCATTACCTTTGACTCCTGAGTGACCTTTAACTTTTATTAGCTTTATCTCCAAATGTTTGCTGTCAATTAGATTAATTATACTACTAATTATGCTGTAATTGTTGCTTTTACACCATATTCGAATTTTGTTTTTTCCATTTGTTAAATTTATTCTTGTGTGGTT